TTTAATTTTATTAGAAAGAAGAAGTCTTCCTCTTTGTAGCTATATCTTGGGAGTCTTAAAAAATACACTATCTGCAGAGATAAAAATGAAAAAAGAAGACCAATCAAGCTTCGGTCATTCTAAGTTAGGCTGCCAAAAATCTGGAAAGTTGCAAAAAGATCTAAACGTCAGCATAGGGGTTGTATGACATGCTCTTTGTAATTGAGAAAATTTGTGCCGTTTGGGCGTTTTTATGAAAAGTTATGATTTCCGAGCAAAGTGACGATTTAATCTCGAAATTCATAACTTTTCGCAGGAACGTCCAAACAGCACGATTTTTTCTCTGTTGCAAAAAGCATGTCATAAAACCTCTATATTGGCGTTTTCAGATTTTTTTTCAACTTTCCAGATTTTTAGCGACATAACTCAAAATGATCAAACTTCGATCAGTCTTCTTTCTCCATTACAAAAAGTGCATATTAGAAGCTCCCAAGGCACTACTACAAAACAGGAAGACTTCTCCTTTCTAATAAAATTTGAGGGAAGCAAACCCGTCGACAAAGCGAAAATTACAAATTTTCAAAAATAAAACCACTTTACTTTCGGGACAACCTAACTTTTATGCTATGATTTATTCCTTTTTTGTTTGTGACATCATTGTATTTCGCACCTGTATCTGCCTAAATGTTGGTAAGGACATTGGTGTAACAGAGTATAGAGATCTTTTGTTATCTTTTTCTTTTTTTTCTTCCTTCTACCTTATAAAGTCAGTCTTATCTAGGGATCTTTCACCTCGCACAAGGGGATCGTGCTGCAAGTTTGTGGAGAAGTGTCTACACGTCGCTTTTTCCAAACATTCATCTTGGGCCAGCAGAGCGCCAAGAAGTTCTACGTGCAGAACGATATCTTCCAGTTTGTCGATGTGGCTTTTCACAGTGAGTCGCAAGACTCACCTGCACCTGCGCCATCCAACGAGGCCTCAATCACTGAGGTGAGAATGGCGCTTTTGACGCAGTTACGTCCCATAAAACTGAAGTTACTTCGATGGTGTTCAGGCACAGTCGGTGGACATCGATCTTGTGCAGAACGGACACAATCATTCCCATTCTTCCATTGCTTTGAGCTGTGAGGAGACTCCTATCCTGACAAGCGTTGTTTCTCATGCCAAGGTTAGCCCACCGAAACCTCCCGCGGCAGCTCCGCCTGTCCAGGGTAAGCTTATTTTCATTTTTCTGTCATCTACAATTTTCGATACTTGTATTGTTCATTGATATGCACAAGCCCCATTCTTGTAACGAAGCAGTTCTCAGCACATTTCTGCGTGGTGATTGGTTATTTCTTTTACTTTGCTTAAGACAAGATGATTGCGCATCTCATCATTATCATTTCTAAGGCAGTGGCCATACTTCGCTCAAAAGTGCCCAAAAAAGT